ACAAGGAAAGAAACTGAAAGGATCCGATGTCTTCATGAACGAACATCTGATAAAAAGAAATGCGGACATTGCCAGGAAAGCACGTTACTTGAAGAAACAGGGAAAAATTCAAAGTACATGGACCACCAACTGCAAATTATTCATTAAACTCAATGGAACACCGGAACAAGCCCAAGTGTTGGTCATCAGAAATATGGAAGAGCTGGACAAATACTGAGGTCAACTTACTCTGGAGGTATGAATACACATGTGACGTGACACACAACACAACACATGGCACAGTCCAAAAGAACTTCATCTGCATCCGGCAACAATATCAACATGACTCATTGGAATTCTCTTTATGATAATCTGGAACTGAGAACATTTCGATACACAGACCATAATGTTCTAGACTTAGAAAAGTATATAGACCCGGAAAATAATTTCTTCTACAACATCAGCTGTAACTGCTGCTACTTCACTGATGAACAGTTTAAGCACACCATCAACACAGAAAATAAATTATCAATAATCCATTTTAATAGCAGAAGTCTGTATGCCAACTTCAACAATATAAAGGAATATCTAAATGAGTTGACAAATCCATTTGGAATTATTGCCATTTCTGAAACATGGATCAATGCGGAGAAAGGAACGGACTTTGGACAGGAGGGATATGAAGTGAATTTTGTAAATAGAAGGAACAAGAGTGGAGGGGGAGTAGCTGTGTATGTGGATAAAAACCTAAACTACAAGGTGGTAGAAAGTATGACAACTGTAATTGATAATTTACTAGAATGTATAACAATTGAAATTTATAAGGAAAAAGAAAAAAATGTAATAATTAGCTGTATATATAGAACACCTGGATCTAGTATTCAAGTATTTAATGACTTCATAGAGGAAATATTCAAATCAAAAAGTTATGTTTATCTGTGGTGATTTTAATATTGACCTGTTGAATCCAAAAAAGCATAAAATGACTGACGGATTCCTAAACACTATGTACAGTTTGAGTTTACATCCTAAAATAACCAGGCCTAGCAGAATTACACCACATTGTGCCACCTTACTTGACAATATTTTCACTAACAATATGGAAAACAACATTGTGAGCGGAATATTAATTAATGACATCAGTGATCACCTACCAGTTTTTGCAGTTTATGACACTAATTATAAGAAAAATCAGCATGAAGAACAACTGAGATACAGACGTGTAAGGACAGAAGAAACTATGACTGCATTTAAGAACGATCTATTAAATCAGGACTGGGACAATGTGTACAAAGAAGCTGATATTGATATTGCATATGGCATATTTTTAAGAATATTCATAAAGTTGTACGATAAAAACTGTCCAACAATAAAATACAACAGAAAGCACAAATATTCAGATAGACCATGGCTCACTAAGGGTTTACAAAATGCATGTAAAAAGAAAAATACACTCTATAGGGAATACCTAAAACAAAGAACAAAAGAAGCTGAAAATAAATATAAAAAATACAAAAATAAGTTGACCAATATTATATGTGTATGTGGAAAGGAGTATTATAGTAAAATATTGAACAACAATAAACATAATATGAAAGGAATATGGGATGTTTTAAACGGTATCATTAAAAATAATTCTGGACAACAAAGTTATCCACAATACTTTATCGATAATGGCAATATTATGGAAAACACTGCTGATAAGGTCAACAGCTTTAATCATTATTTTGTAAATATTGGACCAAAACTGGCAGAACAAATTCCTGAGTCACTGCCATCAGTAGAATGTAGTGAAAACCTGATTGATAGGAACCCTAACTCAATGTTCCTCACATCAGTGGAGGAAAAAGAAATAATTGACATTGTACACATGTGTAAATATAAAACATCCACTGATTGTAATGATATTGACATGAAAATCGTCAAGAAGGCCATTGAAGGAATTGTAGGACCTCTAACATATATTTGCAACTTATCATTTCAGACGGGAAAAGTGCCAAACAAAATGAAAATAGCTAAAGTTGTGCCGCTGTATAAAACCGGGGATAGACGCCACTTCACAAATTACAGGCCTGTTTCTTTACTACCACAATTCTCCAAAATCCTAGAAAACCTGTTTAATAAACGATTAGACAAATTCTTAGATAAATATAAATTACTCTCTGACAGTCAATATGGATTCAGATCAAAAAGATCAACATCTCTGGCATTAATCGAATCAATTGAGGAGATTACGAATGCTATAGATCAGAAACAGTATGCAGCTGGAGTATCAAGAAAGCATTCGACACAATCAATCATGACATATTAATTAATAAACTGGAATGGTACGGGATCAGGGGGGTTGTACTGCAATGGTGAAAAATTATTTAAGTGACTGGAAACAATTTGTGAAGCTGGGTGTCCATTCCTCATCATGCTTGGACATTGCTTGTGGTGTTCCACAAGGCTCTGTACTGGGTCCAAAATTATTTATTATTTATATAAATGATATTTGTAAGGCATCTGATATATTAAAATTAGTATTATTTGCAGATGACACAAATATTTTTTGTTCTGGGGGGAAAATAAGGAGCTGCTGGATACAATTACTTCAGAAATGTGCAAAATTAAAAAATGGTTTAACAGGAACAAACTATCGCTAAATCCAAGTAAAACTAAAATTATCTTATTTGGGAATTCCCTTAGAAATGCACAAGTGCAGATTCATTTAGATGGTGTGGAAATTGAAAGAGTACTTGAACATAAGTTTCTTGGTGTGATTATAGATGATAAATTAAACTGGAAGTCTCATATAAATCATATACATAACAAAATTTCAAGAAGTGTCTCAATCTTGAGTAAAGTAAAACACATTCTGGACCACAAATCACTCCACATTCTCTATTGTTCCCTGATTGCATCGTATTTGAATTACTGTGCAGAGGTTTGGGGCAATACTTACAAATGTTCGCTATCATCAATCTTTATATTACAAAAAAGGGCCATAAGGATAATTCATAAAACTGGTTACAGAGATCATACAAATCCACTATTCTTAAAATCCAAAATTATAAAATTCACAGATCTGGTTCATTTTCTCACAGCACAAATTATATATAAAGCAATAAATAACCTGCTTCCTGACAATATTCTAAAAATGTTTTCTAAAAGGGAACGGGGATACAATTTGAGGGGGGAATTAAATTTAAAACATCCTCGTATCCGTACAACATTAAAAAGTTTTTGCATCTCTGTGTGTGGAGTGAAGCTGTGGAACAGACTAAGTAAAGATATGAAGCAATGTCCAAGCATGGCGCAGTTTAAAAAGCGGTTTAAGGAAATGGTTTTTACAGGGTACAGGGAAAAGGTAGAGATTTGATAGGGTGTTCTTGTCTAATATTTTCATGTGTGTGCGCATGCACGGGTTTGTTGGTATGGGTATATATATATATATATATAATTGTAGGCTGTGTATCCTTGAGGTGTTAATGGGGTTATTGAAAATGTGTATATGTGCGTATGTGTGTATATACGTATGTATGGATAGATAGAAACATATATGTGTATATATTTAAAAAATAATAATAAATTACACATAACATATAATGTAATTGCAAGGAGGTATTTCTGTAGTCTATTGATACTAGATAGTGGAAAAGGGGTGGGATTAAATAAGCTTATGCTTCTTCCTGCTCCTTTTTGAACATAGACGTTATTTGGAGTTGTGGTTGCTCGTTTTCCTTTTGTTTGCTTTGTTCATTTGTCTCTTTTAATTCTACTTTTTTAATACTTTTTCAACATGTTCAAAATAAAGATTCAATCAATCAAAGATACAAAAGTACCAGTGGTGTCCTGAAAAACCTGCAGTCTCCCACAGCTCCAGCTCCATAATTTATTCTCGTGGTAGCTTTACATGATTCAAAGTTTAAAACAATCCATGATAATCTTATATGGGCCTGAGAGCAAGGCCCCCAGGTTTGTCTGAAATAAGCTGTTTTAGTTTCTCCCCATTTAAGGCAATCCTTGCTTTAAGCCAGCTTTCTTTTGATTGGCTGCCCCTCATAAAAGAATCTTAAATAACAGGTGGGCGGGGCTTCTATTATCACTACCAGAGCTGTGTGCCTGATCTGATCATATAAGGATATTCTGCCCTTATGACATGACAGAGCACAGTGAGGAGAAAGCAGTGTGAAGCTGAGTGTTCAGAGCAGCGTGAGGGTCACAGGGGTTACCGCCCATACGCTGATGTCATTATTAGTAAGGCTGAGCAGAATATACAGCATACAACACAAAGCAGAACATGCACAAGACGCACGGTGTGAACGAGTCTGTCTGGTCTGTTAGTTCCAGAAAACTTCTTCATATTTTGTTTGTAAAACATTTTTTACATTTTAAGGTCCAATTTTCAATCCAAACAATGTTTTGGTCTCAGAGCTTCTCTTCTGCTCTCACACTGATGTCTCAGAGAATGAAACGAATCATAGAAGCAAATGTTCACTGTTTAATGAACAAAGACACAGATGGTTATTAATAAAGCCTGGGAGGTCATGCTTACAGGGTGTAGGGCTTTAAATATCAGTCATTTTAAAGGAATATTCCAAAACTTAAAGCTTTTGTTTATCATATTATTTTTATATTTTAGGGCACTTTCAGTGTGCCTCTTTGAATCCAATATGATGGGCATATATAAAGTATTTTTGGACACTTTGGGAATGAAACAGTGAACTAATCATAGATAGAAATCTTCAGATTCACCGCTAATAAAATATCACTTGGAGCGATTTGTAATGGAGGAGAATGGAGCGTGTTCAGAGGTTCAGCAGCAGCACAGAGATCAATATCATTAATCCTCAGCTATATCACCGTTCACATACAACACTGAACACTGTTTAAAAAAGCTCACACTTTCCCCACTTTAAGAAAACATACAGTAAAACCCTGAAATATCAACATCAGTAACAATAATGAGAAAAACACTCACTGTGTTCATGGTTCTGCACTTTAAAAATACCTGAAGTGAAGCTGAAAAGGGGTTTTACCTGGCAGGATGAGGAGAAGCACGAGAGGCGCAATTGATCCACTGCAGAGGAACTTCATCTCGTTCTGATAACTGTTATTGACCCGGCAAAAACAGTCTATTAGTAACAGTGCAAACACACATCAGAGTCCGACCACAGAGCAGGGAGGAGGAACCTCACTGAGACAGAGAGAGAGAGGGCTGATGATGCAGGTCAGTGTGTTTGCTGTAGTGCGGTGGTCCCTGTATGGGGGCTCAACAGTGTCACAACAACTTCTGATTCCTGCTAACCATGTTGGCTAAAATCCTCCTTAAGGTGCTATGATGACATTTTTGTTAACATGTTACAAAACCTTCAAACATCAGATTAACAATTTGTAGCTCTTAAATATAATTTTGCACTTTTACTGATGTTACAGTTACACTTTGTATTGTTGGGTTAACCAACAACATTCTCAGAATGTCTCGTGCAGTTTACTGATTCATTTATTTATCTTTCTCTGCTGTTTTTTCCCTTTAACATCATTTTTTAAACTGTTTTCATTTTAAGGTGGCAGAGGTTTGGTTTTATTCAAACTATAAAACAGACATCCAGGTGAAAGAAAACTAAATGGTGTCAACCAAAATGACAAATTCCATCCTTCCAAACAATAATCCACAAGCCAGCGATCAGTGCCACACGAAGCGACGTCCAGGATGAGCAGGATGGAGGAGCTCAGTGCATCGATCACATCTCCAGCTTGTCTGACAGTTTGTCCTAAATGTGCGGTTACATTTAAAAACTCATCACAACTTTAATATTTCAAGAACCTCAAAATCTGCTGTGTGGCGTGTGAAACCCACTTTGTTGGCCCACATGTGTATTTGGTGTGACTCGTGTGGAGAGCCGACTGAAAAAATAAAGTCTGAGAAGTGATGTGATGACATCAGGAGGAGATTAGCGGATTAGCAGGAATTAAATTGGCAGACAGAGACGTGGTGATGAAGTCAGAGGTTAAAGTCTGTTCTTTGGAACAGAAGTAAGGAAAAAAGCAGCATATTGTCCAGTTTGGTTTTCTCTTTGTTTACCAGTGACTCAGTGGAAGTTTAAAACAATGATGTCAGTTTCTACAGAAACATCTACAATCTTCCAGTTTGTGCTCCACTGAAATGATCACAGACGATCGTTCATGTGAGCCCCAGAAAGGTTAGTGCTCTGATCTTTGGTAGTTTGTATTTCATTTCATGAAATGTAAGAGGGTTCATTATAAAACAGCTGAATACAGCAGCTGATCTAAAACCTGAAACATTTCACATTTAGTTTTACTAAAGAAGCTGCAGATCAGGAGTGTGTCTGACATGTTCAGTTTTCATACTCCAGCAGTAGGTTTTAAAAAGCACTGCAGAGATCTCCCAGCTGGCTTTGCTCAGCGTTTTTGTCTTCTCAAGCTGCTTTTGTTGAGCGAACTCAAAAGCATCTGAAGGTTAATTGAGCTGGGACGCTGCTGACAGCTAATTCTTATAACTCCTCCTGGAAAATAAAAGTAAAAGCCTTTCAGGTGGGCCGAGGGCCAAAGCCGGCCTGAACCGGCCAACAGAAACCAGTTATGGAGCCAAACTTTAACAATGCGCACTGATACTGGGAGCAGGTGTTACCAGACCAGTGTGATGGAAGGCTCAGGTATCCCTCCGCACAGTCTGATGTGCCAAAGTCCAACTCACACCTGAGCTCACAGAAATGATCTTTTTTTCTTTTTATCAGTTACAGTTTTCATTTAAATCAGTGAAAACAGGGTCAACAAATCAATTTAAAACCTTAATACCTCAAAGCTCATAAATGTGAATAAAGATGTGAATTTATACATTTTCCTCCTGTGCTTTACAGCTGGTATAAATCCTCATGTTATGGATTAATGGGCAGCACGGTGGTTAGCACTGTTGCTGCACAGCAAGAAGGTCCTGACCATCAGGCCGGGGTCTTTCTCTGTGGAGTTTGCATGTTCTCCACGTGTTTGCGTGGGTTCTCAACATTGAAAATAATGATTTGGACATAAAGGTGAATTTATTTATTTATGTAGTTTATTTTCCCCATATTCAGCATATACTGACTGAAGTGCACCATCTTGTGGTGCAGCTTGGTATTACATGTCAGTAGAGTTCAGATAAGATAAGATAAGACAGTGGTGCCCAAACTTTTTTTGCTAAGAAAAATGTTCGCCCCCACGCGCGCACGCACGCACAAACACATCCTCCAACCACACGCGCCCATATTTTGCTCCATTGCGGTTTATTTCACACCTCAAACATTTAGTGAACAGTTAAGCAAATACAAGTAACCTGCTATAAATTACAGGTAGTAAGAAAATAAACTCTTTTACGCTGCGTCCGCACACACGGGTATTTTTGAACACGCAGCTGTTTCGTCCACGTAAACGGCGTTTCGAAACGGAGATTATTTAAAACTCCTTTTTTGCGTTTATGTGTGGACGAGGAATACAGAGTTCGTCACGCAACGTCAAAGGTATGTTTTTTCACGTCACGCTGTGCGCACGTTATTGTTTACATGAGAGGAATAACAGAATGGCAGATAGAGACGAAATACTGTTAATCTGACTGTCTGCAGGTTTTACACGCAGTTACTGTCCCTCTGTTTACAAAGGCAGAGGCGTCACGCTGTGATTATTTTACTGTTGTTTGTTTGTTTCCTTGCACTGCTGTAGCTGGAGCCTCGTCGTCTTGTCTCTATATGCTGGACTGTCTGTAGCGGAGATGACAATAAAGTTTACTTTGACTTCGGCAGCGAGCACGCGCACCGAGGGCTCTCGCGCTCACTCATGTACAGAATTTCGAAAAAACATGGGTGCAAACTATGAGTCTGTATCATGATGTCTGCTGTTTTCGTGTTTGTTGTTTTGTTTTTATTTTGTTTTATTTTGCGGGTTGGTTATAAGACGCTGCTCCAGCCGGTCAGAGACTCCCCGCCGCCCCGCCCTCTCCTCCCTGCGCCGCAAACAGCAGGCGCACCCCGCAAACGGAGGGCGCCCTTACTCCCAGCAAATGGGCGATAGAAAACCGATCGGTGCCTGTACCATTCCCAGTATGCGCTGGCTGACGTCGGGGCAGCATGAGTACAAGCATTTTTTTTTGTGCCGATGCCCGTGATGCCGCCCCGGGCAACCGCCCGTGTCGCCCGTATCTAAAACGCTACTGCTTTACTGTATAAAGAGCAAACATCTCCAACATGTCAGGAGCAGTTAGTCATTACAACAAGTGTTTGTGAACTAAAGATCAAGGATGTGGGATCCTGTTTGTCCGTGATCTAAACAGCCCAGCGCTGCTCCCGAAGACGGGGAAACTGATCCTGCAGGGAGACCTCCCTCTGCACCTGTGCAGGTGAAACCAAAGGGCAGATTTGCTTCATCATATTTTCTAGTCTTTGTCTTAGAATGAAGTTGGTTTGGAAACATGTTCAGCGATGCTTCATCTCCTGCTTTGCGTTTGTGTGGGAGCCCCGTGCTGGCAGTGTCCAAGCGTTGTTTTTATTTTATTTTTTTCCCTTTTCATACCGCGAGCCCCCGCAATGGCTCTGCGCCCCCCCTAGGGGGCGGGCCCCACACTTTGGGAAGGTCAGAGATAAGATAAATCAAATTTTATTTGTCTCACACACACAACCATACACAGTATGACATGGGGGTGAAATGCTTGTAGCTGTACAATGCCCGACCATTAAATGACAGAAGAAAAGTTTTACAATATTTACAATTTACAGGTTACTACAAAATTTACAAATTAACTTCTGAATTTACAGTAAAGAATGTGCAAATAGCAGAAGAGATTATAAAGATTATAAAGATTATAAATTATAGGATTATAGGAAATGTGTGGTGATGTGTGGGAGAGTCCAGTCCTACACCTGGTTCAGGGCCCGAATAGCCTGGGGGAAGAAGCTCCTCCTCATTCTCTCTGTTTTGGCCTTAAGGGAGCGAGACCTAGATGACCTTTATTAGTCCCACAGGTGGGACATTTGTTTCCTTACAGCAAAAGTGCAAAGTTATGTAGCAGAAATTAGAAAACACTGGAATGCAATAAAATAAAATACTATATAGAATAAAATGGAATACAAATGCTATAACTGAGTAAGAACATACTAAAGTACAACTTTGTCAGAAAAAGAATTTCACATATAGCAGTCTTATTGCACATGTGTGGGTTGATTTTCATGATTTTATAGATTTTTATGATTTTATTTCAACACAATGTAAAAATGTTCTGGATATAAAATGAAAACTGTAGTTTCCTTATTTGGAGTTGTGGCTGCTCGTTTTCCTTTTGTTTTGCTTTGTTCATTTGTCTCTTTGAATTCTATGTTTTTCAACATGTTCAAAATAAAGATTCAATCAATAAAAAACTAGTTTCCTCAGATTCTTTTGGCAGCTTTGCTTTGGAAAGTTTAAAACTATTTTTAAATGTGGAAGTTTTGCGGGGGTGAGATGGAGACGGATGATCTGCTGTGTCAGTCCCCAAAGGGAGCAGTCGAAAGACAAAGAATAATATTGATTTCTATTATCGATAGCTTCACATTTATATTCCCGTCTTTCTCTATCAACAAAATAAAAACTACTGCTGCACAGCAGCTGTAAATATTCTCTGATTTTTATACTTTTCTCACCATCTTGTTTGCTAAGATTTCAACTGTTGTTCTAAAGTCGCTCATTTGGGGAAATAAATATGAAAAGTTTTTCTTTCTTTCGTCCTTTATACAGTTTCAGGGTTTTTTTGTTTGTTTGTTTGTTTGTTTGTTTGTTTGTTTTACCTTCGGTGGAGTCACTGCTTATTGAAGTGAGAATAAATTCAGATTTGGTTTCTATAAATTCAAACACATCCACACATCTGGTTTGTCTTTGTTGCTCCACTCCACAAACAACATGCTGACACTGAAACGTGTGCAGCAGCTTTAATGAAACAAGTCCCGAGCCTAATGTGACCTGCACGGTCTGCTGTGACATGAACACAGAGGAAGGAACATCTGAAGCTCATCTGAGAGCTTTTGTGTCTCCGTTTATTAACATCCGCTGGATTTGAAGATAATGAGGGCAAAGAAGGCGGTCGTGTCAGTCTAACATCCAGCAGAGGGCATCAGCGAGTTTCAGGTGATTTGAGCAGGGAGCGTAAACTTCTAAATTAAACCCTTTTTGGTGTAATTGAGTCATTCATTTACAAAAAGAAGCATAAATATTGGGTGGTGGGTTTTCAGGGATGAAGGAAACTGCTCATGCTTGAGTTCTGTTAATTCTTAATTTATTACAACTGTTTCCGTAGTTGTTTAACTTTGTAGAAGATTATGAAACTCACAAAAGTTTGCAGCAAACAGGAGACTGTCACTTTGGCCACCAAGCAGGAGCAGCCCAGCGCGGCTACAACAGGTCAGCTCTGCTAGGACCGACACAAAAGCCGTTTCCGACCACGCTGAGGTGCTTAATTATCATGATTCATCATTTTAGGGGGAAAAAAATCCCACAAAAAAGTGTTTTGCTCAGTTACAAAAAGAATAAAACAACAACAAAAAGCAAAGAAGAGAAAAACATTAAATTCTCACTTCATTCATTTTTTTAATATTTATAATTAAATAAGTTTCCAATATTCTCTCCTGTTCTATTGTATATATTTGTTCTTTTATGCGACGCTGTTTGTTTTTCTTTTGCTTTCAAGCCGAACACGACTCCACTCTCTGATTGGCCGAGCGGCTTGTCAATCTTTGACGTAGCGGCCAATGGCAGGAGCCGACAGGCGATACAAACTAGCAGCCGCCATGTTGTGTCTCCGGGGGCCTCGAGGGACGTCCGGTAGTAAACAGTAGATGACGGTACCGCCTGTTCGGCAGCTCTCAGGAACGGGACCGCAGCTGGAAGCTATGAGTCGTCCATCTTCAGCCGGAGGTGGGGGACTCGGGGCCGGGAAAGCAGGCGGAGGGAAGCACGGGGGAGCGGCAGGCGCCTCTGTTGCCGCAGCGGCCGCCGGCGTGAGCTCCGTGGCCGGGTCGGGGTCTGCTCCCCCTTCCTCCACCGTGTCCATGCCGGCTACCGGCCTCGTCGGACAATCCTCGGAGCTCACGGCGCTATTCGAGTGCCCGGTATGCTTCGACTACGTCCTGCCGCCTATCCTGCAGTGCCAGGCGGGTCACCTGGTCTGTAACCAGTGTCGTCAGAAGCTGAGCTGCTGCCCGACCTGCCGAGGCCCGCTCACCCCGAGCATCCGGAACCTGGCCATGGAGAAGGTGGCCTCCACACTGCCGTTCCCCTGCAAGGTAGACCCACAGACACAAACCGGCCCAGCTGATACTCACACACTACATCACAACTCTCTTCACTTCAGTTTGTGCACAACTTCCTCCACGCACACCTGTCACGTGACGTCATCAGAGCCAAACTAGAATTTCGATTGATTTTCCAGGAAAACGTCTGACACACAGTCAACGGAGTTAAAGGTCAAAGGTTACTCCAGAAAATTGTGATTTATTTATTTATTTTTTCCGTGCTGAGTTCACTGCCTGTAGTAATAATCGGACGTTGAAGCATCACTGCTTAGTTCACTGCATGCAATCAGTGAAGGAAAGTCATGTCACAGAGTTCATTATGTAATATAGAAAGAGTATTAGGACGACATTAAGAAAAAATATGATTGATCAATTTGAGAATAAAACCAATATCTCAAGAAAAAAGTCAAATTAGTTATTTTGTAGAGGATTTGTTTGCTTTGAAACATCTTCCTATCATATCTTGTGATAACGTCCATCCTCTTTGTTGCAGGTGTAATCATCGATATCCTGGCATTTGTTCATTGCCATTTCATTTTGTACAAATTTGGCCAACGCTTCCACGATTGTGTGTTTGTTCTTTTGTTTGATTGGTCTTTCCTTTCTTTTCAGTGTCCTTATGCCTCCCACTGCACTGTGTTCATGTCCTAAAGGAACTAAAACACATTTTAAAGTACACATTCGCAATATCATTTGGTTTTATTCTCAAAAATATCAATGATTTTTATTTTCTTTACGTGGCCCTAATACTCTGTCAGAGTAATACAACCAGGAAAGTCCAGAGTCTGTGTTTAGTTCAGTAACTGTAATAAACATAGTTCAGCCAGCAGTGATGAGTCCACTGATTAATCAGGACTCGTCACTCTGCTGATTGTTTCCTCTGTTTGTCTAAAACCTGCAGATAAAAATGGATGACTGGTGTTTTAATCTCCTGCATACCAAAGTGACTGTAGAGTGAGAATCGTGACCAGGTTTTAAATAACATGTCCAACAAGTGTGCAGCTGTCCACATACCTTTGGCCTCGCAGCGTGTCGACTGATTGGAGCGGCGGCTCTGGTTCCATTACACGCACATTAAAGTTGAATTGTGTGTCGGCGGCTGAAAACTGAGTCCTGACTCTGACCCTGAGGAGGAAGAGGAGGTCTGATATGGACACAGTTTCCAACCTGCATAGTACAGAAAGACTTGATACAAACTGAAAGTAGATGTTTCACAGCTCGCTCAGCTCAGCAGGCTGGTTACAGGACAGACTGCCCTCTGGTGGTGTTTTCATGCAGTGCATGTGACCTCAACAGAATATGTCCCCAAGAGTTTAGGGGAGAAAACATTAAATTCAGCTTAATTTGAGTTCATTGAAGCTGTAAGTGAAGATCATGCATAAAATTTGGCTGGTCGACGAGCGTTTCGTCATCATTTAGATTTCAACCCACGAGAATCTCCTCACCACTCGTACACGTCCTGCTGCCCTGTAATCATGTTGTGTCGTTATACCTCCTGCAGACAGCAGGCTCATGCTCATTTGTTTCACTGTTGCTGTTAAAATATGTTTTTTGTTTCTGTTGTGATGATCTTCCTCGTCTAATGCTTCTTGGTAAGTGTCTGCAGGCTGGTGTAGATGTCAGCCATACAAATCATTTGGTCACAGATGTTTTGGGTTTTTTCAGGGGAGGTTTGTGTTTTGAAAAGCCCGAAAATTCTACGTAGGACCCAATATTTACTGAGCTGTTCTCTACAGTAGGAGGAAGAACTGCAGCCTTGATGAGGTAGAGAGGACATGAAACTCTACATATAATGGCTGATTTACACCACTAAGTCCTGCTCTCACACCTGACATATATTACACTGTCTGTGAAGCCGGATTTAAGAAATAAGTGCTTAAAGTTTTAAAAAGATGTTTGGTGCCATCTTCTGTCCGTACAGAATGTGACGTCATGTGGTTGGTTGGCTGGTTGTGGCTAACAGACTAACATTAATTTATGTTAGCTAAGTCGTGACAGTGATGCTATTGGCTTTCTGAATAGCAGCATGAGGTGTAAACATCCTGTAGTCTGGGTACAGAGCTGCCAATAATGCGCTCTGCAGTCAGACTGTGGCAGTTTCCATACCAGACTGTGATGCCGCTGGTTAGGATGCTCTCCATGGTGCCTCTGTGGAAGGTGTTAAGGATGGGTTTGGGGAGGCAAAACCTTCCTTAGTCGTCTCAGGAAGTGCAGTCGCTGCTGAGCTCTTTTTGTCACCGATTTGGTGTTGCTGGTCCTCTGTGATGCAAACACTGAAGAATCTGGTGCTCTTCACTCTCTACTGCGACACCAGCAATGCTGAGCTGGAGATGGACAGCCTTGGTCTTCCTAAAGTCAACATTGAGACATAGATTATTGTCCTTGCACCAAAGTGCCGTTGCACATCCTCTCTGTATGCAGCATCATCATCGTCCCTGATGAGTCCCACCACTGGGGTGTCATCTGGAGACTTGATCATTTGGATTGTGTTGGAGCTGGAGGTGCAGTCGTGGGTCAGCAGCGTGATTAGTGGGCTCAGCACACATCCCTGGGGGGGTGGAGGGCGTCTATGCTCAGTGTGATGGTGTTGGATCTTATATTTCCAACCTGTACTGTCTATCAGTGAGAATGTCCAGGATCCATTTGCAGGTGGAGGTGTTGGGTCCGAGCAGGTCCAGCTTGCTGATCAGCTGTTGGGGGATGATGGTGTTGAATGCTGAGCTGAAATCAGTGAACAGCATTCTTATGTGGGCGTTGCGTTGATCCAGGTGTGATAGAGCTAGGCAGAGTGCCAATGAGATCGCATCACCCATTGATCGTGATATGCAAACTGTAGTGGGTCCAGTTTGGGGGGGAGCTGCTTCTTGATGTAACTCAGGACTAGTTGCTCGAAGCACTTTGTGATGATTGGAGTAAGTGCTTCTGGGCAGTAGTATTTGAGCTCCGAGGCTGTAGCTGTCTTTGGCACAGGTCTGATTGGGGGGGGTTAAAGCACTGTGGCACAACAGCTTGGCTCAGGGACATGTTGATGACGTCTGCTAGGACAGCGGTCCCCAAGCCCCGGGCCTTCGACCGGTACCGGTCCGTGGGTCGTTTGGTACCGGGCCACGAGAGTTGAGGCTCAGGTGTGAAATGTCTGGTTTTCAGGGTTTTTATCGGTTTCAGTGTTATTTTGTTATCGTTTTTATCGTTTACTCGGTTTTTCTGGGTCTTTTCACGTGTGTTATGAATAAATCTTCTTTTTTTCAGTACCGGTACTAGTTTCATTTTGTTGTATTTATCCGCAACACCTTAAAGGCCGGTCCGTGAAAATAATGTCGGGCATAAACCGGTCCGTGGTGCAAAAAAGGTTGGAGACCGCTGTCCTAGGACATCGGTCAGCTGGTCAGCACAGGCTCTGAGCACACGTTCGGGTATATTATCTGGTCCAGCAGCTTTGTGTGGGTTGACTTTAGCGAGAGTCCTTTCACTCGGGCCGTGGACAGGGACAGCACTTGGTTGTCTGGCGAGGGGCTGGTTTTCCATGCTGGCTCATTGTTTTGAGTCCCAAACCTGGCATCGAATGTGTTAACTGCGTCTGGTTGAGAGGTGTTTGGATGTCCCGCCACATTCGCTGAGAATCTCCTGACCAGGCAAAGAGATCACTGACTTTCTTTGAGCTTGATGTCCTTGGTTTGCTTGGTTGAAGTCCCCAGCGATAATGAAAAAGCCCTCGGGGTGGAGAGATTGCAGGTCCCTGACGGCCTCGTACAGCTCCCATAGCGCCTCCTTAGCATTAGCGTCAGGAGGAATGTACACTGCCACAATAACGATGATTCTGAACTCCTGCAGCAAATGATAAGGCCTGCACCTCACTGCCATAAATTCAACACACGAGCAGCCCCGCATGCTTTTTCAGATGTGGGATCACTTTAGTGCTGCAGCAACGAGTTAATGTTAAACTGAGGATGTACTGCCCACTTTGCCGTCTGTCTCTCTTTAGCAGTAAGTTGTCTTTACAAATCGGATGTGGCATGCGCTGCGTCAACGCTAACTAGAGCGAAGAACCCAAAATTTGCGCCGCGCTTGTGAGTACACAAGCAGATCAATCAGTCCCAGTATTAACACTGTACACTAACACAGTAGCTTTATTACAAAATACTAAAACACTGGTTTGATGAGTAGGAACTTTATTGTATTTAAGCAACTGCAGAGAGCAGCAAGGATCAACTGTCAAGCTAGTCATGCACATTTCTGCTGATATACTGTGTGCCATGGTTTTCAAATAGGGCTGCCACGATTACGTCGACTATCAAAATCGTCGACGACTGGTTTAATAGTCGACGCGTCGTTTGAAGCTTTGTAAGATCACAAAAGACGCAGGAATAAGTAGCAGGATTTAAGAGTGTAATAACGGACTGTGACAGAAGATGGCAGCACTGCGTGTACAAGGATGCCAGCTGCCATTAAATATATATTTCCCTCATTTTTACTGGTGACTGGTAGGAGGTAAGCTGCTGATTTCTCCAGGAGGTGGTTGTGTGTGAAGAACGTATTTGGCAACATTCAGTCGTTGGACAAACAGGAGGAAGTTCTGTGTAACTCCTTGAAATACAACAAGATAAATACACAATCTAAACTGAGGCATAAACATCAATCTTTACTGTGTGTCTTTGAGGCTTTACGTTTAGTGTGAGCCAGTATATCAGCACTCTGACGTTTGCTCTGCGCTTTGATGCAGAGCTTTTGTGCTGCTGAAAACAAGATGGTGTGATGATGTAGACGTTATTTAATCTTGGCAATAATTTTACCGTCCTACCTGAAACCTGTCAGGTCAGTTTTACTGGCACATGGACATTTTTATAGACTTTTGGAAAAAAGCTTTAATTTTCATGTTTTTAAAGCTTCTACAGTTGATCTGACAGTGGTGCAAGATGAACAAATCTGAGAAGGCTTTGTTTTTTTTGTTTTTTTTTTCTTTTTTTTTTCTAAATGACATCAGAAACAGCAGT